AAGGAAGGAAGGAAGACACCCAGAAGGCAGGAGAGTGCCCCTGTCCCACAGCTGACTGAGCTGGAACTACCAAAGAAGGGTGTAAAATGTTTAGCGCAGCGAAATCCACACTGTACCCTCAGGAAAACAATGTGAAAAATCTCAACTATGTTTTCAGAAGCCACTCAGCATGACCGCAGGACTGGAGTTTCCTCCAGGTGCCTTCTCTCGGTGTAGCAGGCCCTCAATGAACCTGAGATGACAGGCTGGAGCAGAGGGCCACCGCGGTGCCAGGCCAGGGTGTCCCTGGTACAGGCTCGCGTTCTCAGCCCCGAAGCCACGATCCATGAGCTACCAGCATCAAAGGGCACCCATCCCGAGCGATCCCGCGGGTTCAGTAACAGCCTGTGGGGTCCTTCGTCTCACTGGTCCCTGGGGAAGCAGCGATTTTGCTCCCCGGAGTGTGGACATGCTTCAGTTGCCAGAACTGGGGAGGAATACACCGGCATCTAATGGGCCAGAGCCACCAGCACGCTGGCTGGCAAACCCAGGACACCAGGGCTATCGGGGGCTGCGGAGTTAGCTCGACGGTCTATGTGCCTGCCTAGCAAGCGCAAGGATCTGGGTTCGATCCCCGGTATCGCATGCTGTGCTGGCCCCTGGAATCCCAGCACTGAGGAGGCTGAGACAGGAGGATCACTACAAGACTAAGCTACATAATGAGATCCTGTACCAACTAAATAAAAATAAAAATAATTAAAAAAAAAAAAAAACAGGCAGATATTGGACAAGACTCCAAGATTACCCAATGGAGAAGCATCCTTCCTTCGAAGCTCACTAAGACTCCTACCATTTTACACATGGTACGTCCCACCAGCTAAGGTTAGTTTTATGCACTGAGCTGCTAGCATATTAAAGTAGCACAAAGGTAGACTCAGACAGAACAGAGAAAAAGACAACATGAAAACCAAGGCATTCTAAGATTCTATAAACTTGAATTGAGAAGGAAAAAAAAAAAAATGAGTCTACTTTCTAAATCCTACAGTCACTGTTCTCCATACGAATTTCTAGGATTTAATTCCTTATGGCCTCCTGCCTCGTAGGAACAAGGATCTCAGGGAGTCCTGGAGAAGTAGAAACATCTCTTTGTTCCTGAGTAGGAGTTTTATTATCCCTCGAGTAGAGAGAGGGAAAGGGGGATCCCCTGTAGTAGGGCTCCGTTAGTCTCTGGGTGTGATCTGTTGCACCCTGGGAGAAACAGCGACAGGGATGAGGAAAGGCTAGACAAGAAGACAAGAGCTGGGCCGGGTGGTGGTCCCTCTGCCTCTGCCTCGCTGGCGAAACAACCCCCAGCACCATGGGGGGGGGGGGCTGATTCATACCTTTGTGAAGTTAGACTCATAGCTGACATTAACCAGTCAGGGTGCTTCTCTCGGGACTGAGGGAGCTTGGCCGCTTCAGGCATGGAGGCCTTGTCCCGCTCTCACACATTTGACCAATTTCCAGCTTCTGTGCTCCCAACACTTGCGCAATCTCTAAAATAAAAGTTATAAGCAAGGTGCGCGGTAACGTCTTCCTAGGCCTTGTGGACAACTACGCCTCTCTTTCTCTGTGCTTTGGTTAAAAAAAAATGCTAGTTCTGTTGGGCCAGTGAGAGAGCTCAGCAGACTAAAGCGCCTGCTTAGGCAGACTTAGGCAACCCCAGGGACTGTGTTCAACCCTCGCACCACATGCCACGCCAGCCACGCCCCCAGGGCGGGCTGAGCTGGCCACGGAGTGTGGGCGTGGTGGTGCACGCCTGTAATCCCAGCGCAGGGGAGGCTGAAAACCGGAGGATCACTGTGAGTAGGAGCTGCGTAGTGAGACCCTGTAACAACCAAACACATTTAAAAAAAAATGCTAACTCTGTAAAGTGGATGTTCTAGAAGCAGATACTGGAAAAGCATGCCATGGTATTCTGTACTCGTGCGCACAGTCGGGCTATATAACCACAAATATAGCCAACGCCGCACCCTATCGAGGGTGGCATACAGGGAGAAGCAAGCGGCATGCACTGTGGTGCTGAAGTCCTACGTATCCGCCACACAGACAGCACAGGCGTATAATGTTCCGTTTGAATTACCGGAATCGCTTTTCACGAAAGCCTCGAGAACACCACGCGCAGGCAAGTAATAAGTGTGTACTTAAAACAAATACAGAACAGGATTAAAACCAAAGTCACTGTTCAGCGCAGAGGAGAAACCGACGCAGCAGCACTGTACGTACAGAGAAATAAATATCCAGGGATATTTGCTCGGCTCGAGATCAATCATTTCCTACTCATTAGCTCCTGCACAATACAGAGCTTTATTATCTTATAGGCTTTACAAGTCCAGCGTGAAAACATGCGCTGTTCAGCTAAAAAGGAAACGACAGTAAATAAAACCCTTACATCAACTTGATCTCCTCTTTCCTGACTTACGAAGCTGAACAGTAAGAATTCTGTGCTTGTAGAACCAGCAAAAATCAATACTCCGAGACAGAAAGCAAATCAAGAGGAAGCTTTAATAAGCTACCAATCACGTCGCATTCATTTCTAGGTATTTATAATTCATTCAAGTTACAGTGACAGAAGTCCCTTGAAATTAATCTTTAGCAAAAGACAAAGGGATCGCAACATTTAAAGACAATGCATTGAAATCCTAGGATAATAAAAACATCTATTATTGCACACACACAAAAAAGAAATCCCAGGATAAGGCGTGATGTTTCTTGCTTGGCCAACTGTCAATCAACAGCAACTGGAGTTTACTCCCAGTTATGAGGCCAAACTTTCTAAAGATAATCCACGAGTAACAGGCATCAGCTTTTTGTTTATGGGTGCAACAGCGTGTCAGGAGGTTGAGAAGAATCCTAATTAATCTCCCTGTATCCCGAAGCAAGGTCTCAGTTTTGCAAAAAGCATTAAGCTTAATTTTAATTGTGACTGTCAAGCACATTGTTTATTCGCTGAAATTCTGATGAAAGTTTCCAAACACCATATGGTCCTGGTGTTCACATTTCAGTTGCTATCATTGGCAAAACACACCCAGGTCCCTGCTCACCTGGAAACTTCAACTGGGTCCTCTTCCATCTCACAGAACCACTCAGCAGGCAAATCCCGCTTTGGAAAACAATCAAATGTACTCAAAACCTCTGTCTTTCAGTCACCAAATTCAACTGTTCACTTACATAAATGCTTCAAAACCTGGGGCACAGATGTCTACACAGAGAAAAAATAATTACTGGCTAACACAAGAACAAAGTTATTAAAGCAAGCACAAGCACACATGCACGTGTTTCTCCCCTTTCCCTGCCCTTCCTTCCTTCCCTTTCCTTTCTTCCTTTTTTCTTTCCTCCCTTCCTTCCTTCCTGCTCTTCCCTCCCTCCCCCCTCTCCCTCCCCCTCCCTCCCCCTCCCCTCCTCTTTCTCACTTCCTCTTCTCCTGTGTGGGTGGAAAGCAACCCAGGGCCTCACACACACTAACCAAGTGGCCTGCCACTGGGCTCATTTGCAGCCTGACACACACATACTTCTCTTCACAAACCACGGCTTCTCTGTCACCTCCACAGCAGGACATCAGAAGGAACTGCCGCTGCCATTTTGCATCTCTGAATTTTACAGGCCTTTGAGTTCACACCAGAGAACTTGTGTCTACACTCACTACAGCAAAGAAAGGGAGGCTCAAGGAGAATTCGCTTT